GCAGCTCGTCGTGAAGGTCTGCACTGGAAGCTGCGTGTACACTCAGCGACTGAGGCGAACTGCTGACCGCTCGGTTGCCCACGAGTCGACACCACGCGCCGTTTGCCCGGCGCCAGATCGAAAGTCGCCCTCGCCGTTGACGCATTCGAGGCTGCCGCCACAGCTTCTGTGATGGCGGTCGCGTCGGACAACGCCAGAGATGCCTGCAGACTGAGCGTCGGCATTGTCAGTGTGCGCATCATCGGAGCCAGTCTCCGTGGCTTGCTGAACTCGCCCACCGGCTCTGGGCCTCGGCGACGCGGCGTCCGGCAGTCGAGGCGTCGGTACGGCGTCGCCGACGTCAGACAGCCTCCTCCGTTGGCGCCAGAGTCGTTGGCAACTACGTTGCCGCCGGCGCCCGCCACGCCGACCGGTGCTGCGCCACTGCCGAGGCCTCCGAGACTGCCTCCACCTCCGGACAGGACGGCCTGCGCTGCACCGCTGCTGCTGCCGCAGAGAGAGGGTGATGTTGATGCCGAGTCGGTGGGGTCGAGCGGTGAGGCTGTCGAGCTGGTGAGACAGGGCGTGTTAGCGCCGGTGTAGGCGGCAAGCGTTTGCGAGCCGATTGTCGGTTCACGAAAGAACAGACTCAGCTCTTCGGAGCTGGCCAAATCAGTCTCACCAGCGCTCAACTCTTCCACATAGTCCCCAGCCTCCGCCTGGCCAGAACATGGAAAGGCGACCTGCCTGCTGTTGTCCTATTCGTGCACAGGATTACATGAACAGCACATTACCCATTTACTACGATTTTCTCTCCCCCTTCCCTCCAGCAACCATGTCCCCCCAATACTATATACGAACAGCGTCAAAGTTATTAGTGACGAGTAGCCAGATTAATTTTGTGAGAAAATCAACCTTATGGAAACATTGATTTCATATGAAAACGCATAATGAGGAGGTTCGTTCATACGGAATACAAGTCTCCACAACCATAAGGGATTAATCGAGACCGAAAAATTCAGTACAAGATAGAGCAAACATAAATCCTAGTTGTAATGAGATGTATTCACCCTATTTCTAATTGGTAGGAAGATTTAGAGGAACGCACCTTGCCCGGTGTCCATTGTATGCATCATCATTTCCACAGTAGGACCGTTGTCCTTGACTCGTTGTCTCTATGACGATCTGTACTATGGTGCTACGAATGGCGAGACTCATTGACAATGCCA